CAGGGATGCTCCCTGAATTTTGGGGCGCCCTGGGGTGAATAGGGGTGCTCCCTGAGTTGTGGGGTGCCCGGGGTGCTCCTCTCCCCCCTCTCCCAGCGGGCTGGGCAGTGAGCCCGGGGAACACACACCGTGTGTTCTGCAGAGTGGTGAAGTGTCCCCTCCCCATCACATCCTTCCTTCTCCCAGCTCTGTTTTTCCTGTTTGCTGGTAGCTGGCTTTTGGCTCCCTGGGCAGCTGTCCCAAGTGTTAGTTTGGGAGAGCACTGGGAGCAAGGGTAAGCCAGGAAGCCTAGGCCCGGCCTGGGGCTTTAGCAATCCCTGTCAAGTCCAGGCTGTGCCCTTTCCCCTCTGGCAGGCAGTGACTTATTGCACAGGAGCTGGAGCAGGAGTGCTGGAGGGGGGAGATAATTAACCAAGTCTTGCTTTTCTTTAGAAACACTGAGATGTGAGTCTGCACTCGGTGTTTGGGTTCACTGACTCGGTGCAGTCACTGTTATTAGGAGGTAGAGACATGATCTGAGTTACTTGAGCTACGTGTTACCAGGTGGGAATATGAAGAGTTCCTCGAGAGAAATCAATAGCTGTCAACTGGAAGTGGAGCTGTAACTGCTCCTGGGATGAACATGTATTACCAGACATCCCCCCCAGGGGCAAAGGGAGGGCGTGGAGGTGGCTCTTGGCTGCCTGACCGTGATTTGAGAGCAAGTGCTTCTTCTAAAATGCGGGCCTGTTCTGTGGTAATGAACATAAACGTGAGCACTGCTCTGCATGAACTTTACAGGGAACAGTGGATCCTCCAGGAGATCCAGTGTGGCCTTCTCCCTGCTGAAGTTTTGGTGTTATTCTTTCCCAGGCTTGTGCAAGGACCAAGTGAATGCTGCAGGGAGAAACCCGAGCTATTAGTCACTGGACTTCATTTGTGAAAGTGAGACCAAAACAGAGGCTTTTTCTCCTAGGAGCAGAAACTGTTTTAGGAGTTTGTAGGAGCAGAACCTGAGTCATCAATTATGGGATGTTCCAGTTGAGTAAATATTTGGTTGGAGCCATCTAGGGTGCTTGTGTGTTGATTGTAGCGAGTGTGAGGCTGTGACAGGCCGAAGGATTGTTGTGCTGTGTGCTCTGCAAACACAGGGACCATGTGCTGAGGGACCTGTGCTGTGTCCGTGCCTGCAACCAAACCCAGAGGCTCCAAAACTGCTGCTAACACACTGATAACAGATCACCCTCTCCCACTGCCGTGTCTGAGCTCAAAACTCTGTTACTGAACTGCAGGGTACCTCGGAGGCTCAGCAGACTGGGGCTATTTTACTGCAGAATCGTGAGAAAGAATGGCAAAGTCATTCCCAGTTTGTTGTACCGCATCTGGAATGCCAGAATCTGGCTGGTGCTGTGTGAGGCAACGTAATGGTTTGCTACCTGGCAGCACAGAAATCAGCTCTGGGATTTGTTTCAGTAGCAGTTTCTCTGGAACACCCAGTGCTGCATTTTTTCACTCCAAGGATGAGAGCAGGATGGTCTGAGTCACGGCTGTAAATCTCTCTAAAGCCCAGATTCTCAACGCGAGGTGAGCGCGTTTAATGACTGAAGTGACACCTGAAGGGCCGAAGGACTGAGGGTGTTGGTCTAGGTTTAATTAGTCCAGTGACTCCCACATTGATTAGAGAACAAAACTCCTGCTAGTGACACTTCTGCAGGAGTGAAAAGTCACGTCCAAAGCCTTTTGCCACTTCTGTCAAACTGACTGAGCTCTTCTTTAAGTTGTTTGTTGGTGGCAGGACAAGCAGGCTGAAAAATGCCTTTTGCTGTTGTATTCTGCATTCCAAGAGGGAGAAATAGAGGATATGGCTCTAAAGAAGTGCATCTGGTTAAGCATAAAATTCCCATCTGAATCCATCAGTAATTGTGCCAGGATGTTGTTTCCTTTTGCTGGAAGAGTGATCCTGACAGAACCGAAGATGAGAAAGAATTACACTCCAGAAGCAGAGATTCCTTAGGAATATCTCTTCCCAGTTGCTCGATGCAGGAAAACCAGGAGTGTCGTGATAACTTAGGGATTTCTGGATTCAATCCCATCATTATAAGCAGTTCAGAGCAGTGGGGGGTGGGAGAGCCAAACCTCTCCTGCTCTTCCATCCTCCATGGAAGGGTTTGGACAGAAGAATGCAGGCTGAGCACTGGGAGCCAGTCATGCTGCAGTCAAATGATCTGGTGAGTGTTGCTGTGCTGATTGCTGGCCAGGACAGATTCACATGTGGTTATCTGGAGACAGGAAAGCCCCGAGCTGTGGACTCCTGGGGATGCCTGGGAAGGTGCATGTGAGGGAGGGAGACAGACATGGTGAAGTTGCTGAGGAGGGAAGGGGTAAATGTGCCATTGTGCACAGCTGGGAACGGGGCCAGACCAGGTGACCCCGTTATTTCCTGTACCATCAGCTCACAGACCCTAACCAAAGACTGGGATTGCCCTTTTTGGGTTTAAACTCTTGTTCCATGGTCCTTCCCATAAAGGAATGGGAAGCTGATAACAAGATCTGATAACAAGACCACAGAAGTGAAGTTTCTGTCCGTTCTCTGAAATCGTTCCACTGAACTACACTGAAAGAAATGGTACACAGTAAACATTTCACAGCGTTGGAGCTTTTGGGATGTTATTATTTACAGGAGCTTAATGTACACAGTTCAGAAACTCGCATTGCTGCCCTGTATAACCCAGGACGCAGATGAGTGGAAGTCAGGAGTGAAGTGAACTTTAAAGTGTTTCTTTTGGAAGTACTCCTGGCAAGAACTTCCTCGGGGAAAAAGAAACAGTTCATCTGGATGGCAGGTACTTCTGGATGGCATTAATAAATAAACCTAGTCTTTTCAGCAGCTGGAAGTGACAGTCCAGGGTAATCAGTCCCTTGTGTGCATGTTTGGATACTTCAGGTGATCCAAGTGAGTAGAGGTAAAGCAACATGAGCAGAGTATGTGTGAATTAGGGCATGGCTATAATTTCATGGTTTCTTTTTTTGAAGATGCATACCACTCACACACAGCATTTTGGGGAACATGGCACAAAGGGGGGATTCAAAGTGTGCTGGCAAATGTGTTTGAGGGGTCTGCTATATGGGAGAAGTGAAAAAACTGCTGTAGGGACCCAGGGCTGCACATGGATGAGACTTTCAACTACAACTGTGTGCAAGTCTCTGTTTTTAAAACAGTTTTACATCACCTCTTGTTATATACTCCCCTGAGTAATATGAAAACAAAGTCTGACTCTTAAATATTTTACTTCCCCTTTCCTACTAAATAGCGAGGGGGGGGAATCAGAAGAGTGGATGGAAAGTGTTGTATTTGAATATTGCTTTCACTTCTCTGTGACACACTGTCTCTAAACACTGAGTGGGAGGGAAGTGCTGCTCCAGTGAAGCACCACAGCGTGAGTGATCTTTCCTGGTTGTATCCATGCCCAACTGTATCCTTGTTCTGTGTTAGTTAGAGACAAATTAGGAGGAAATAGTTGTTGGAGTTCTGTAAAATTCCAGTGGTAGCCCAAAAGGTTGGCTGTTCCCCCGGGGCTGGGTTTTTGCTCTCTGCAGTGTACTACCAGTTTTCCCTAAGGGATGCAGGTGTGTTTTGCAGACTGAATGATCTCTGGTAAGTTAGAGACTGTTCTGCCCAAAAGCTGTACTAAATCAGCCTTGGTGCTTCATTTGGGAGATTTGTGGGGCATTAGGGAATGCTCTTAACTGAGTGAAGAAAAGGTCTTGCAAGCTAAAGACTAAAGTCTCATTTATGGAGAGAGACTCACTGGTTTGCCCTTGGTTTGTCATCCAGCAACATGATAAACATTAATATGCTTCAGGTTATTAATCAGCATGTGCTGTTTGCTTCTGCAACCTGGTGCTTCTTTAAGGTCACAAGTGCCTTTGCTCTGATTCTGTTGATGCTCTTGGTTCCCTAAGACCCTGGTTGCTTTTTGTGTCCTTCCTTCTGAGCATCATCTTGGTTTCCATTGCTTAACTGGTATTCCCAGGTCATTCCCACAGCTAATATGGACTAATGCTCCCTTGTCCAAGGTGGTGTTAAGAGGCTTAAGGGACTCTCTGAAGTGCTGCAGTGTCACTAATGAGGTGGGACTTGCACCCCCATGTTCCTTCTGCCCCATGGCTCAGTTCCCACGCTGGGCCAGAGCAGCAGTTGGAGTTTTGGTCTTTGATCTTGTGAATAAATACTTACTTAGACAAACTCTGAGAAGAAGTCAATAAGGAAAGATGGTCTTTCTGCTGGAAAGACTGTGTATTTCCCTGCTATTTGGATCTCTCATAAACCCCCACCAAGAGCAACTTTGTCTGGCAGTGGACAGTGCTTGTAAGACTTTCTTCACCCCAGTCTGTCAGGTGTGCTGACAGTGCCCTTTGGTGTTTGCCAGCTCTCTGGATCTGTCCCCCTTGATGTTGTAGTGCCCATAACCAAACACACCTGTTGGAACAATGGACAGCAAGAACTTCGTTTGCCCAAGTCCCTGCATGGGCTCGTGGGTTTGCTTTTGGCTCCTTCCTGCTACCATTACATCTGTGTTAATTCTGTGTTGTGGTTCTTGTTTTGTCACTCTTAACCAGCTGTCCTGTCTGTATCCTGACTGAATGCTGTGTCTTCTGTACCTGCCCCTGCCTTATGTGTTAAATGACAGGCTTTTTCAGTCTTTCTGCAGAGATGAGCACGAATTTTAGATGTGGAAATAAGGATGAGGATGCAGAAAACGAGTGAGGTGTGTGAACACAGTGATCTTACACTGAATATCAGTTTTGCTCTTGGTTGTCTCATTGGTTTTGAGCTCTGCAAAAAGTGGTGCAGTTTTTCTGCATGTGATGATGTGCAGTTGTGTTCCTGGGTGCATCTTTGAACTGGTGTTGGCCTCAGATCTGGTCCAGAGCAGGCACAGCTCTTTAAAGCTGTTGCCAGAAAGCAGCTATATTTTAAAAAAGGGAAGTGAGTTCCTGGATGGCTGTTGAATCCCTTCACTTGTCATGAGGAGATTGAGGTCTGAAGGAGGTGCAATTACAAGGAGAACCACAAATGATTCATTGAACTAATGATGGCTGTGTAGCTTTGAGGGCTCTGCTGTCTTCAAGTGCTGGAAGGACATTAAAGTAGAATTCCAAAAAAATTCCTTATGGTGTGTCCCACAGAGTTGTGTATCAAATACTTCAGCTTTGCTTCTGAAGTAGATCTGAAATGACATGTGATTCTCTTGACTCTGAACTGTGGAAAACTGTTAAATTACAAACCTTATAAATCTTCCTGGCAAGTGTTTAAGTTGGAGTACAAGCATTTTCTTGTCCTTCCTGTGGTTTTAAGCACCAACACATCTGAGAAGCTGAAGTAGTTAGTGAAAAGCTGAGGAAGTGGGAAGGCATTATAACCAGGTGTGGAGCAGTGCTGTGATAGTGAATAATGCTCACGTTGGCTAAATGCAGATCACACTTTGATAACTTTTTTTTATTTTAGAGCTAGAGCTTTTCTGCTTTTTAAGAAAAGAAAAAAACCCACCTCCACCTGCCTGCTGTGAGCTCCAAAGCACACAGAGCCCTGTGTTCCATGGGACTTAATTCTGACAAATATTCAGACACCAAATAGCTGACATTGCAGGCTCAGGGCTGGGAGGTCCAACACCACTGGATTTGCTGTGGTAACGTGTGTGTTGCTAACTAATCTTTGCCTCCTGCTTTAATGCTAAAATAGTTGGAAGGATTTTCCTTGGGTTCTTCCAGAGTTACTGCGGGTCATAAAGCAAGGGAGCAAGCTGGGAAAGCCAGGTGAAAACACCATGTACTGCCTTATACAGAGGTCAGGGCTGATCCTGATTTGAAAGGAATTCATGGAATATTCTCCCCTGACAGAATCAGGAGGAGGGCAGCAGTCTGAGAACAGAGGTGAGGGCTCTGTCTTGGTGTGTGTATAAAACCTCTCTGGTGGGTAGGGTGCCCCACTGAGGGCTGAGGAATTGGTGTTGGAATTGCAGCCAGTGTTGAAAGTCCCGTGTGATACATCTCCTGGAGAAACAGTGACTGCTTTTCAGCTCAGCAGGCCTCTGGGAGAGCCCCGAGTGCTGATTTGCTTTTGGCAAATTTGGGCTTTTTCAGTAATTTATGTACATTTCAACTTTGCTGTACAAGAAGTTTTCCCAGCCTCCTTATGCTGGTTTTACCATTGCATTTACACTGCAGACCAAAGTGAATTTCTGGGTTTTTATTCTTTTCCCCACCTCGCTCCTTTTGGAATTAGAAATGTTCTCTTGACCCTGTGTGATGCTTTTGCACTTTACATGGGTTGTGTGGAAAAGTCATGAGGAATGGGTGCCTTGCTGAAGTTCAGATGATGCTTTGACACCTTTGCAAGTTGATTGGACGTGTCCAAGTGCCTGCTGGGAGCAAGAATTCCTGGCCAGCTTTGCTGAAGGGGCCAGAGCTGGACAGGGCAGAGCAGGAGAGTGAGAGGAGGCACATGTGGGACAAAGAGAAGACAAACCTCCCCTTCTGCCAGCAGTGAGCCATTAGATCATCTCAGCTGCTGCTGGCATGATGGGCTCCACGTGATAAGAAGGGGCTTTGCTGTTGCCCTGTTAATGCCCTGAGCTTCACTAGTGATCCTTGGAGCCAGAGCTGGTGAGTATGAGAGACAGAGAAATGCTGCTTACCCGGGTTCTCATCCAGCCTGGATATACTAACAGTATTATTTTTTTCCCAGGGTCATCAGATTCTTGTAAGAGAATAATAAAGTGCTTGAGATGGAAGAGGAGTCAGAACTCTCTGTGCCTTTTTTTTTTTTTTTTGCTACCCATTATGTGACCCTGAACAAATAATTATGAAATTCCATGGATACTTGAGGTAGTTCTGTTCTCCTTGTGGTTCCATGAACAGGCCAGACCTTATGTTAACAACTGTGCACTTCTCTCTCTTGTTAATTTATTGCCTCTTCTTACCTGCCCCCATCTCTGCAGTAGTTTTTTTTAATGATGCTAGATTATTAGACAAAAAAAACCAGTGACTAGCTTTGTCACTGCAGTTTCTCAGGCCTGGAGGGAAGCAAAGGGTAGTGTGTGGAGCAGTTTAAGCCCTGAAGTGTCCCATGCAGTGTTAGTTTGCCTGCCCTGTCCTGCTCTCGTGGTGGGCACATCCTTGTAGCTGCGGGGAGCTGAGCTGGAGGAACCTGCCCAGATGTTGGACTGAGTTCTGGTTTGAGCAGCTTCACTTTGGTTCAGTTCTCTGCCCCTCACCATGAGACTGCACAAAACACATTGTGTGGCATGAGAACAAGTGTTTGGATGCTGAAGGTGGTGAAAGGTTGGTATCTTAGTGGTGAGGGAACTAAAGCACCAAGGGACCAGACAGTTTCAGTCCTTTAAACCTCTGGAGACTTGGTAGACTGGAGAGTTCTGGGATCATCTGATGAACAGGCAAAGTATGAACAAGGTTGATGATGAAAATCCTTCCTTCTGTAGCAGTCTGACTTGTTTATGGCCTGTGGTAAATCTGGAGGGGTTCCCAGAAAGTCCTTGAATGGGAACACTGGATACATTACACAACTGCAAACAGTTCTTCCAAGTGATGAAAACTGAGTGCTTTTCTTGAGTGAGAAAGGAGACCCCTGGTTTTTGAGAGGAGCTGGGCATTGCTGAGCAGGGGTGGTCTGGCTGCTCTGTGGAATCCCAGGAAGCTGCTTTGGTGGCTCTGCAGGCACGAGGGATGGAACCTGCTGGTAGGTTCTGCTCTTCACATCTCTCCTAAAGCTTTCCTGCTCAGCTTTTCTGTGTATCTTTGGGATAGCTGGCTGCTTGGAACCTGTGATATCTTTACCTCCAGCAGTGTTTTTAAATACAAGCTGCTACTCAGGACTTCTTCTGAGGGAAAATTAGTGGCTCTCTTCTCCTGGTTTGCAGTAACTTATCTTCAGGGTAGAAGGGAACACTAATTTCTTTCCTGGGGGTCAGTGCAGAGTTGCTACAGAGCAGTTGCTTTTACTCAAATGCAACTTAGACTGGCAATTAAAGCAAATGATAACAAGGCCTGCTATGTAATTTCACTGCTCCATTAACTTTCTTGGGAATTGCAAGGGACTGGGACAAGTGTAATCAGAGTAACTCGTGTCACAACCCCCCCAGAAGGAGCTGTTGAACCTGCTCTACTGCTCTGCTGAGCACTGATCCAGATCTGCCAGTTCAGGCTGCATGTGCTGAATTCAGAGCTGCTGGAAAAGTTAAATACCCTTTTTAATGGTACAGCTCTGCTTTGTCAGAGCTTACCTACATCAGTGCTCTCCTGAAAAATAACTTTTTTTTGAGCAGGATATCTCATTTAGATGCCTGGTGTAGTGTCTGAGATCTTCAGTCCTGTGTTGCTGTTAGACTGTCAACTGTTTGAGGACACAGCAGTGAAAATTATCTCTGCTCATCTGCACATTTTGCTTATTTTCTCTATGAAAGCAGATCCTGCACTATCAGCTTGCAAACACACTGGCCTTTTTGAAGTTACGTGACTCATGAGGCTGCCAAAGCACTTGGAGTGCTTTTTAGCACTTGTATTTTGGTTTTTAAGCTGGGCTTTTTGAAATGGATGTTTGGTGCCTAGCATCTCCTCTGGGGGGGGGGGACCTTCCTCGGGATGGAGATTTCTTGATGCTTTTAAGAAAGGGAGAGCAAAAGAGCTGCAGCTTACCTGCAATGAGAAGTGGCCACTCTTTAGCACTTCACCTAAAGAGGGAAATGAAAGAACTCTGGATTATTTGCAGCTACTTTATTCCTTATTTGCAGCACTGGGGATTGGCAGCATTTGGCTCATGCCAGTGATAGCTGAGCTGCAACACAGTGGGGTTTTTGTTTGGTGTGTTCCAGCAAATCCAGCAAAAAATGATATGAGACACATAGCAGGTTACACTTGATAGAGGTTTACAAACTCCCTCAAAATTATATTTCCTGCTTGTCCAGCTGCAAGGCCTTTGAGGAATTCTAGAGCCTATTTGAGTTGTCTTCGTAGCTGCTGGTCTCCTGGCTAAAGCTCATTAGCTGTGGTCAGGAGAGGTTAATTAACTGCTGCCTCTGGAGAGTTCTGAGGAGGTCTGGATAATGCAATATTATATCAGTGACAGTGTGGTGGGCAAACTGGGAGGTTTATTTTCGGGATCCAAGTCCCTCTGTCATCATGAGCTCACACTGAAGCACGTGAATGATTTAATTGTCCATGTAATTGGAATTTTGTTCCCCACCAGCCAGGCTGAAGGGACAAGAGGGAAGAGGAGAGCACTGGCTAATCTGGGGATTCAGAAAGACATCACCTGGTGCACGTTGAGTCGTGAGCTATGTTATGGTCTCACAGCCCCACATTTAGTGGTCCTATTCCAGCTGGTTTGGGAGAAGTGAGACTTTAGGATAAGCTCCAGGCTTTGAAGGGTGCAAAGAAGTCCCAAACCATGGAGATAAGGACGCCAGAGTTGCAGGTGTAGGTTAGGACAGCTCTGTTCAACCCTCACTGTGGACAGTGAGTGATGAGGAACCTGTTTGGCCTTGCCTGAGGGCTGAGCAGTGTAACACACACTTAAAGCAGGCCCACAATGAGTGTGCAATCCCCAAGAGACCTGGGGAAAGTTGCCTTCTTTTTTAGGTGCAATGGGGGCTCTTCTTTACTATTGATCGGATTTAAAACCAATCCTATCAATAATGGTGGGGGTTTGATTGGTTTGTGTGCTCCTGAAGTTAATTAAAGGAGAGACAGCACATACAACTCTTGAATCATTTTTACAGGGACTGCAGTGCATGTTCAAAGCCTTTTCTTAAGGAGCATTTCGGTTGCTCATAAAAACAACCGGAGAAAATGCCCAGTTCAGATGAAAAAAATAATGTTCAAGGTCCATGTGGCTTCTTTTAAGAGAGGCTTAATCTTTCTGTTGACATTCTTGATACCAGTCTCTAAGAAAATAAGACCATGTAGTCCCACAGTTAAGCAGCTTAGAAGGTTTTTTGTTGGTTGGTTTTTTTTTGTTTTTAGTTTTGTAATTCCTCTGTATACTAGAGGTACCTGGGCATCGTATCTCAGGCTCTGTTTTTAGTATAACTCACAAATAGGCTTTGCAGGAATGAATCCATCTGTGATTTTTAGTCTGTTGTGGAAACAGAAATTTAATATTCCTCATATTTTCAGGAAGGAAATGAATTAATGGTATTAAGTGATATAAAGTGTCACACTGTGATTCCGAAACAGATTATGGCCTTTCAGCTCTTGTTAAAAGCCTTTTAAGGACAAGCTGCAAGCAGGAAAGTTGTCTTTTGGTTTCAGAAGCATTTAAAATCTGCTTTTGGTCAATCCACTTTTAAGGTGGATTCAGATTTACAAATGAATAAGCTTTTGGGGAAAAAAAAAGAGTGTGGTGTAAGATGCACTAAACCAGGTGTTTGAGGCTTGTAGGTGGTTTGTGGTGATGCAGAAAGGATGAGGAGTCAGCATCCCTGTGGCAGGTGGGTGAGAGATTGGCTGGGAAAATGTGACACTGAAGGATTTGGGGAGAGCTTCCTGTGTCTGAGGGGGGCAGCTTGCTGAGTGCTGCATTCATGGGAGATGGTCACATTAGGAACCACAGCTGGGCAGTGATTGAAGAGTGACAGTCCTACAGGATGGCTTTGTTAACTGTAGTTAAATTTAACAGGTTAATAATGTAAAATGCTTGTCCAGGGTTAAGGGTGTGGTGTGCTTTGAAGCTGAGGATTTTAGCCACAGCTATTACAGCTGCTTGGCACTTAGAGGGAGAGAGAGATTGATTCAATCTGATTATTTTCATTCAAGGCTCACTATTGTAGCAAAGTAACTTAATGTTGGAGTTGGACGAAATCACTTAAACTAAAGATTTTAGTGATGAATTTTAGTGTATTCAGTCCAAGAGAAAAGGACTCTCATCCAAGCAAATGGTAGCTGACAGACACCTCCGAGTTCCCTGTGCCCTTCGTTTTCCCTGAAAGTCTTGGTACGTCCTTGTGATGCACTTCACTCTCAGGTTGTTAGAGCAGTTTCCAGGATCACTGTGAAATAAGGAGGCTTTGTCCAACCAGTTCCTTACAGCTCTGCATGAGGAGGTGCTTTATGTTGGAGCTCTTTGTCCAGTAATTCTTGTTGAAAATAGCCGAGGCTGGGAAATGTTTCCAGCGGGGTGACGGGGAACATCTGGGTGATGTGCTGCTGTGCTTGGAGCTGAGAGTGTCACAGCTTTGACCCTGCCTGAATAGTTGGTTTAGACATGTGGAATAAGAATGATGTAAAGGACATGAGTGAGAATAGCTTGTCTTGAGTATCAGCGTTGCTTAATCCCAGCTCGTAGGTGCTCGTTGTTTGGCTGCATCCTTGCCGTTCACACTCACCAGGAGCCTTTGGTGAGCTTTCTTGTGACAACAGTGCTCTGGGAGCCCTTAAAATGTTTTGATACAAAGAACTTCTAAGGAAGTTCTTGGACTATTTAGGGGTTTTTTCCCCTTGTTTTCAGCGCCGGCTGCGTCACCTGCGGAACATCGCTGCCCGCAACATCATCAACAGGAACGGATACCGCCTCCTGGACACCTACTTTACCCTGCACCTCTGTGACAGCACCAAGATATACAAAGGTAACCAGGCTTCCCTCAGCCTCCCTGCCAGTTTGTCTTTGAGTTCTTATGGCAGGAATTCTCTCGCTTTTTTCCCCTCCTTGCCAACCCGCTGCCGTTATTTCCATCACCTTTGTAGCTCTGCAGAAGAGCCCTTCAGTCCCCTCAGCTTCCCCAAAGCTCTCAGTGTGAGCAGCCAGGCCAGCAGAACAGATGACAGGTTTGGCAGAGCCCCTGAAACCAGCCCGGTTTGTCGTTGCTCTCCCCCCACTGATAATTTAAGAAGTTGGGAACTTCCAAGGCCACAGAAAAGTTAAAGGGTTTGGAGCCGTGGTTGCCTGTTGTGAGGGCGTTCCACTCGTGCACAGCAGTTATGTTACAGAGCAGACACCAGCACTTATCCAAGTTTTTCAGGACTAACATAGTCAGCCAGTGACATGGAGCAACCTGTCGTGCTCTGGGTCACTGTGTGTGTGTGTGTCACACCTCGTGTCTCTTCATGCTTTGCTTCCCACTGCAGTGTGTGGTTCTTCATTGTTGGTAGAAATGCATTTTTATGCTCCTTTTGATATGATCAACAGTAGTTGGAGGTGAATTCTGGTTTTCTCCTAGTTTTTTTTTCCAGCTGGCACAGTTGAACCTTGTTTGTTTCCCAGAGTTGCTGTTTTAGCAGGATAAGAACACACAACTTGAGCTTGTTCCTTGGACTTGTGGTGGTTGGTTGAACCTGTGACTAATGACTGTTTGTAGGGGCTGTTCTGCACTCCATGAAATCTTTATCCTTGGCCTCCAGTGGGATGGATGTTGTACAAAATCTATATTCCAGCCTCTAGAGCTGTCTGCCTAAAGACTTCAAGCTCTCACTTTGGCTGGGAAAGCCAAGGTCCGTGTGTCAGCAGTTGCTTATTCCCATTTAAATCCAGGGTTGTGGGCACCTGTGTCAGATAACTTGGCAGTTCCCTCTCCAAGCTTCTGGAATTCTTTCTTCGGGAAAGCTCTGCAATTATTTTATCTGAGCTGAGCTGTCCCAGGAGGATGTTGTGTGACAAACCAGTCACTTGGCAAATGTCATCCAAATATTGTTAAGTACTGGGGCATGTTCCTTCCCCAGAAACCGAAGCAGATCTTCAGAATTATCATGGGGATGAAGATGAAATGCTAAATTTAAATAATGACTTGTAATAAATTACTCCTCCACACTTGATTTAGTCAAAAGCATGACTGCATTTCAAAGTCTTTCTCCTGAATCTGTTACTAATAAACTAGACCCACTAGCATTTGTCTTTCCTGAGTGTTACTTTTTTAGCTTTTTCTATTTCATGTACTAAGATTTGTATCAGTGTTTAAGCTAATCTAAAGGTATTTTTTTTTTACTCCTCTTTCTTTAGAATTTTATAAGAGTGAGGTGATCAAGAATTCTCTGGTAAGTTATTTTAATGCGGAAAAACTTCCTTTTAAAAATTATTTATTTAGTACCAACATATTGATTTCTCTGCTGAATATCATAACTCTTTCATGTGTCTTTCCACTCTTCAGTTCTGGGAGCATCATGTTCTCCCCCTTTTCATGAGGTTGGAATAGGGAGTTACTGAGTATAGAAATGCTGATTTCTTTGAGCATCTGTGTGTTGTGTAGGAGAACAGTAAGAAACGTATACCTGGATATATATAAACATGTGTATTCATTGAAGAGCTAATAGCTGTAAGAAACTAAACTTTGTAAACATCTTAAGTTTGATAAATTTTCAAGTTTAGATCAGCGAAGGGGCCAGAACTGAACACTTTATTACAACTGAGAAGAAAGTGAACAAATACATCAACAAGTTCTGTAAACTTAATTACTGGGGGATAGATCAGCATTTAACTTTTGCAATGTAAGCTGTACCCTGGTTTTCAGAAGCTGAATTGTAAATAGGAAAGGAATGTTACTTCCACTTTGAAATGTCCTGATTTGGCTGAACTGAATTAGTAAATTCTGCAGTAAAATCTTCAGTGTTTTGTAGTGGAAGGAAGCAGAGCCCACTCTCTGTTTCTGATGTAGCTTTTAACCCAGGCATTCTCTCCAGAGAAGGAAGCAGCAGAGCTTGTTGGCCTCAGCTCTGTGCGAACCTTGAAATGGCTGCTGTTCCTCATTCTTTAGATTTTTTTAAAAATCTTTGATGTGGACTTTGCTACTTTCTGAATTATCAACTTTTGGGGCTACTTTGAGCTTGTTTAAATGTATTTATCCGTCTTTGACTACTCAGAATCCAACCTGGAGGAGTCTGGACTTTGGGTTGATGCCTGATCGTCTGGATACCTCTGTGTCTTGTTTCGTTGTGAGGATCTGGGGTGGCAAGAAGGAGCATTTCCAGCTTTTGATTGAATGGAAGGTCAACCTCGATGGCCTGAAGTACTTGGGCCAGCAGGTAATGGGAAAACAGGTTTTTCCTCAACTTTTTACTTAAGGAATCAAAGCATCTGGATGAATTCATATATAGAATGCTAAGAAAGGAAATGACTGTGTTTGAAGGATGTGTTTTAAAGTTTGATTGCAGATATTCATGTCAGTTTTACCTCAGAGCTTACCAGGCTTGAATTCATTTTTCCCCAAGGTTTTGTGTGCCTGCAGAATTGCAGGTGATGAAAAGCTGCAATTTGTGTTTGTTTGCTGTGGAAAGCTGTAGTGAGCTGGCTGTGAACTGATTTGTTTCCTTCCCTTCTTACAGATCCATGCCAGAAACCCAAACGAGATTATTTTTGGTCTCCATGATGGTTATTACGGAGCTTCATTTGAACAGAAGGTGAGGGTGTCTTGTGTTTGTTCTGGCTTGCTGGTACTGGTGGCAAGCTGAAATTCAGCTTGTAAGCTTGATTTTTCACACTTGGATGCTCAGAACATTAAAATGCTTCGTTTTGAGAAAAAATACTTCTCTGACGTGACAGATAAGAAGTATCATCTTGCCTCGGTTGCAGGGCTGTCTGAGATGTCTTGAAAAGACTTAGTGTAGCATTTTAAGTCCAAAAAAAATCTCTGGTTACTGAAAATAAGCTTTGACTGTGTTCCTTGAGGCAGACATATTGCAAAAGATGTAGCTGTTAAGGCTCCTTTATGTGGCAAATATAAAACCACAATCAATTTTGGTTCTTGGTCCGAACCCTGGAGTCCGTAGCTCCTTAATGGGAAGCTGTTTATTCGCTCTGTTTCAACTGTTTCACCCCAAGTTGTTTTCCCAGAGGACTCACTATAGTATTTGTGCCTGTCCAGCCAATATTGTCACTGATTATTACCTCACTGATGATAAAAAAGTTTAAATTTGCCTGTTGTAAGCAGTGCATCTGACAGAGGTTTTCTTAATCCCAGATTGCTGGAGGCAGTACTGTGGTACAGATAGTTTGTATAAGGAGTCCCTGGCTGGAGGGGAAGTGCCTCCTTGGCACACAGCCTATGCCTATTATTTTTTTTAATTATTTTTTTAATCAGCTAGATCCTGGCACACTTAATTATTACGAGTCATTATTTAGGTGTGACCATGTTTTTGGTGGTGGGGAGTGTCTGCTGTGTGGCCTGTGGTTAACACAGTTGTGAGGAGATGTTAACAGGTAACTGCATTTCAACACCACCTGTGTGGAAGCTGCCTGTTGAGGGAGGAAGGAATCTGCAGACAGGGATTGTGGGGCTGGAGTCCCCTTCCATCCCTGTTGGAAGGCTGGCTGATCACAGGGACAGCTGAGGCTGCCTAAGCATTCAAATAAAGACCTCTTTTCCTGGAATCCATAAGCTTTCTGACAGTGCTGCCAGGTGGTTTGATCTGCTTAGAATTCACTTCATCATCTGAAGGAACCATTCTGAGTTCGTGGAATTCTCTAGGAATGTACAGGCCCGTGCCTGACATGGAAAAGCTCCACAGCTGCCCCTTGCAGCAGGAGGAATTGCTGCTGGGCTGTTCTGATTCTGATCCCTGCTGTGCAGAATTGATGCTTTGGGCTCTTAAGAATGACACTGATTTTGTAGCTTCCAGAAACTTGTTCACATCACCCCAAACTAAGATGGCTTTGACCTTTCCAACGTGTCGCTCAGGCACGTTCCTGACTGGGCTCTCCTGTCTGGAGCTGAAGGGGTGGCAGCTCTGTAAACTGCATCCTTCAGTGTTCCTGGGCAGAAGATTTGGACAGCTGTGGATTAAAAAGTGCAGGAAAAAAACACACTCTGTGTCTAGAACACAGATAAAGTGATAGGTCTTGTACACCTTTATAGGCAAGTGGTGTTATTGCCACCTCGAGTTGTTTCATAAAATTATGAAGACATTTAAAGTACATTAAATGCCAGGTCATTTGTTCAACCAAAAGTGCATGCTTTTGGTCAAGGTGGAAAATTTTTTGATTCTTAAATGTCTGTTGTTTCCTTGCCTTAAGGATCACTCAGGTACCCTGAAGAACAGTCTCCTCCAGGTGGATCAGAACTGTGTCCGTAACTCTTACGATGTCTTCTCTTTGCTTAGGTAAGGCTTTTGGTAACACCCTGTGTAGCTACTGTAACTTCTTGAATTTGGGTGTGGAAGGAGCCTTTCTGAATATAAAAAACCCCCCTGTTCTGGTGTGGAATGTGCAAAGGAGATCCTGAGGTCAGGCCAGTTTCCTGGTGGTGTCAAGGAGATGGGCCATGGTGTTTGCACGTTCCGTGGTGGTCACTGGGCTTCTGCCACAGGGATGTTTGAGAGCTCTGAGCAGGGGCTGGCTGTGGAGCTGGACAGGCCTTGTGGGTGTCAAAATCATGGAACTTCTCTGTTAGAAAGCTTCTGTGGAAAGCCCCTTCTCTGTCCTCCTCAACAGCATTAAAATTGATTTAAATAAATGAGAACAGACCCAGTTACTCCAGCACATGTGGCATAAAAAAGCCTACAGTGTTTTTTTTTTAATTTTGGGTGGTTACTTAGATGTCTCTGTTTATAAGAAAACATGAAATGCTAATAAAAACATAAGCAAGATGTCCTTTTCCAGATCTGCTTTAATTATAATAGCTTAAGAATGTTATTTATGGAGAAGTATAATGGAGTTCCACCACTGTCAGTAGGTTGAGGAATCTGTATGTAAAAGGCATTTTATAAGGCAGGTTCTGCAGGAACAGCACTAGATGTACTGTGAAGGAAACCCTTGAAAGAGAAACGTTTAACATGCTTTCAAAAGTCCTTGGAAAAATGCAGTTGACTTTTTTTTTAACCCAAGTTGAATCCATTCCATAGTGCTGACAGTAGGTGTCAGTGTTGCCTGTCTGAAGAAAGGGGTAGGAGAAGTTAACTCGAGGTTGCTTATTCAGAAGTCTTTATTTTCTAAGCTCTCTTAAAGTGTGAATGTGCTGTTCCTTGATTCTGTAAAGCATATTTAAACTGAGACTGTCTGTTCCTGTGCCTTTAGTGGGAAACAACCCGGGGGGTGTCAGGAAGTTCTGCTTTCGTTCTGGCACAGTCCATTAGCAGAGGACTCTTGTGCTACCAAACATAAAGTCTTTGTTAAATAGAAAGAAGCAAACATGTGCAGCTCACCCTGATTGCTTTATTCACATGTTTTTCACATTTCTTGTGCACTTCCATGGAGTATGAACATACTCCATTAAAAACAGGTTCTGGCCCAACCCTTTGCTCAAACTTCACAGTGAGAGTTTGTGTGGCTGATCTCTGTATCAAAACTGCTTTGGGGGGGAAGAAGTGATGGCACTGTTTTCCTCAGAAGCTAAAACTTGTGAATAGGCCTCAATGGAAAGCACGTGCTCAGCTCAAATTGTGTTGGTTTAAAAAAATTAATCTGTTGGATCAAAGTAGCGCCTGTGTGCTCAGGTGCTGCCTTACAGGGATTTACAAGTTAATTAAACAGGAGGAAAAGTTTAGGTGCAAAGCTCAGCTTTACACCAGGAAGTTCTGGGCACCTTTGCAGCCCAGGAACCTTCCTGTTCCAGGGCAGGGACAAGATGCTCAGGTGGACATGAGGTTGCTAATAAGTTGTTTGTGGCACGTGGAAGGGACTGATGTTCTTCCAACCCCTGGCTTTTAAAAGGGCTCACTAACAAAACCTGGAAAAACTCAAATTTTGAGGTTTTTGTTCCTTGTCAGATTTCCTGAAGAGAGGTCACTGAAAGACTTTTTCTAAATATTATGTTGCTGGTAGTAATGGGTTGTGCAGTAACATGTTTCACCTTTCACACAGAGCTCAGGAAGGGCCAAATTCATCTGAGCTCATGTTCTGGACATGTCTCCATAGTCAAGTTCTCAGCACATTTGCAGCACTAATGGGAATAGGTTATATTTAGTGTTCTCTTGGTTTTCTAGCCTTTCTTTTCTTTAAGCTTTGAAAAACAGACCTTTCAGTATTAAGTGGTGTTGGGAAGATGAGATGTCACTACAGAAGGGGCTTAAAATCCTATATATTAAAATTTTGCTTCAGTTTTAAATACAAGAACTAATATAGTGTATTCTGCAGCTTTTCCTTGATGATACTTAGAGAGCAGTTGGCCTGTGCAAGTATGTGAGTGCCTGAAATCCTCCCAAATCCTGCCTGGAGACAAAAAGTGCTCTAAGGACTAGTGAAGATCTGCCCCTTTGAAGTTCAGCTTCATATGGTTTTATCTCTGCAGTCAGAGCTGCTCTCTCTGTGGTTTAACCATCCCTTCAGCAGATGGCATGGCATGTTTGGGGTATTTACCCAGCCAGTTAGGCCAGGTTGAAAACATTTTGGTTGTATTTTTGTTCAAAAAAATAGTGTTTTTTAACAACAACATCATCATCATCTGCTATTGGTGCAATTTGAGTGCTGGATGGGTAGAAGAGCAGCTCCAGGCAGCTGCTGTAATATTGCTGGAATCTAATCTGGCTGAATTTGATTTAAATAATATTTCTAGGTGTTAATCTGTCACAGGGCAGGGTAGGGGTCAAGTGACAGGCCTTGCTCTGGGGTTTGCCATTTGTAATACAACTGCTCATGTAAGGAAGAGTGTTTGTCTTATCACTGAAAAGAGATTATTTAAGAACACAAATGTAGGTATCATTTGCCTGGGGTCTGAAATGCTGATGTTCATAAAATCACCTTCAAGTGAGCAAGCCTAAAACACGGGGACATGATATCAAGTCAGCTTTTGTTTAATTCTGCTTATCTTAGGGAAGATGCTTTTAAATAGCTGTACTGCTTGTGTTTAAATTCCTCCAACTTTATTAGAACTTTTACAAGTGAGTCTCTGAAACTGGAAGTGGAGACAACACACCTGGTCAGTGTAGGCAGCTGTGGTGGGGAAATGCTCATTGGTAGCTCTGAGTAGTTTGTCTGAGACACCAGTCAGTGGGACTGTGTGTGCCAAATGCAGGAACTGCCCTCGGGCAGCTCTTTTTAACTCATGGAAAGGATGCTGGAAGTGAAGCTGCTGTTCCTAAGCTCTGAGCAGGGTCTTGGTGGGCTGAAGCTGCTCAGTGTGAGGTGTGTCTGGGGCACGTGGGGCTGCTCACAGAACAGTCAGCCCTGAGCAGTGCCAGTGTCCTCCCTGGCAGCTCGGTCACACTTTGCTCTTGTGTGGTGGGTTTAAGTAGCAATTCCAAACTTTAGGCTTCCAGCTGTTTAGTGGGGTGAAAAGGAGGGAAAGCAGGAAGAAACTTGCTCTTATCAGCTGCTCTCTAACTTCATCTGATAACAAACCCCAGGGCGAGCCATGCAAAGCTGTACTGCCTTTGAACTTCCCTGGAGTCCTCTATGTTCATCCTCATCTCCGTGGAAGAAGTGAATCCAATGGAGCTGGGCAGCATCTGGGACTACATGGAAATAGAGCTGCTTTTTGCTGCCCTGTCCCTCGTGGCATTTTGGGAGATGCAGAGAGAGAAGGGGAGGCAGGAGAGAGTTAGTTAAATTTTAAAATATGAACTGACATCTCTTGTTTTTAGCTTTTCCCTTTGCTGTCCTTTCCTCAGAGAAGGGCCCCAACTCATAGCCACGAGCAACCCCTTTCTCAATGGTGCAGTTAAGGATGTCCATGCTGTGGGCAGTGCCACATCCTGAGGAGATGGTGTGGATGTGCCAGGAAAGGTGGTCACCAGGAGCCCGGTGCTCTTGCAGTGCCTTGCTCCAGCTGTTCCTGTATCTTGGCAATGAAATTGCTGGCTCGTGTTGCAGACTTTCAGATTTTGTGTTGCTACTGCTGCTACCACGTCCCTGTCCCAGCCAGTGTGGAAATACAAGTGTGGGATGGGTTGTAGGATTCCTCTCACCTGACCTGTGCTCTGAAATCACTCAGTTCCTCTGCCAGAATATTGCTCTGCTGGTGATAAGTGTGGTTGGTTCTTTGTGATGGCCAACTTTGATGTTTCTAAACAGGAAACATTTGCACCTGCAAGACTTGGCCCTTTGTCCTGTAGAGGCAGCCAAGGCCAGGCAGGGCATCCCTTGGCTTTGGGCAGGCAAACCCAGGATGGATGAACAGGAGCTGCAGTCAGACCTCTCCAGTGCCTCTGTGCCTAATTAATTAGCTCTGAGATAGATGAACATTACTACAAGTGTCATCCCTCTTGACCTGGAAACCACGTGGGGTGGTGGCTTCCCGGGAAGCAGCAAAGGAGGTGGAAACTGGGATGGGAATTTTTTTTCTGAGAGGTTCCTTAGGGATTTTTACTTGTGGCATCAGGCTTTTGGACAAACATATTCCCAGGGGTTCTCCATGTGTGGTGCTGAGCTGTTTGGGAGCTGAGGCTGCTCAGTCAGCACAGGGGTCCGTTTACAAGCCTGGCTGTTGCCAGGAGCTGCAGTGGAGAGCGCCGTGGGTCACGGCCAGGGGAAACAGCCCGTGAAGTGTCAGAGAGGGGGAGTCCTTTGTGTGCTCACTGCAGGGCTCAGCCTGCTGCTGCTCTCATCTTCAGATGCCATGTGGAACAAACCACCTCTGCAGGGGCAGGTTTTCGGTGTGAACAGGGCAGGCATGTTGCCAACTCTTGGCCAAATTTGAGTTCAGAGCACTTCTAAAAGAGAAAATACACAAAGCTGTGCAGAACTTCAAAACCAGCTTTGTTCTGCCTCTCTGTTTGTGACAGTGTGTAAAAGATGGTGCTAATGAAGCAAAGTTCAATTAGATGAGAAGTCAGAACACAGTCCTGCACCTTTTCCTGGCTCTGTTAGAATTGGTGAAAAACAGACCATGTCAGAGAATCATTGAACAGTTTGGGTTGGGAGGGACTTTTAAAGACCATCTTGTACCATGGGCAGGGACACCTTCCACTGTCCCAGGTTGCTCCAAGCCCCGCCCAGCCTGGCCTTGGACACTTCCAGGGATGAGTAGGGAATGCACCAATGTCTGAGGAGCCGCAGAACCCTCCTGTGAGCGTTCTGACCATCCCTGGCAGGTGGGACATCTCTCTTCTCTGCTGCAGCTGCAAGATTCTGCTTCTCTTGGAAGTAAGTTTAGATTGGAGTTTGGGGGTGGCTTCCAGGAAAAGTGCAGCAGTTGCAGCTTTCAAACATGAGTCACCTGAACATTGGCTGGTGTTCCTCCTCCTCCTCCCTCCGTGGCTAAGGCCTGTGTGCTGTTGTCACAGGCACCTTCTCACTTGGGTGGCCAGTGACCTGAGGAACACAATCAAGTGGAGAGCAACTGTTTCCCTTCTTGGGTGGAGCCTGTAACCCATTCAACCTGAATTTGTGCATCTTCCTTTTCATTGTGCAGTGAACTCCAGCCTTAGTCTTGCTCACTGTCTGAGCAAGAATTGAAGCTTCTATTAGGGTTTGTTGGCCAAAGGCAGCTGGATTGTACTGGTGTCACTGTCCTGCTGGCAGGAGTTAGCACGATGTGTTTATGCACTTGGGGAATCTGATTTGCATCTAATTGACCTGTCTACTAAACAGTGTCTGGAGTGTGATTTTTTTTTTCTGCTCTGGCAACAAGGTTTCTGTAATCACAAACTGAGATAGAACAAAAAGAAACTTCCTCTGTTACTTGCCACGAATACATTTGTTCTTTGAGTAAAAAAATCAACCCATAAATGCATCCCAGCACTGGAGTTAATCTGTGAATTGGAATAAAACTACTAGAGACATCTCAGGTTTTGTGGCTTCACTTCTGGAAAAATTGTTTGAGCTTCCCAGTAAGACTCTTCTGTTCCCTTCATGCCCTGGGAGTATTGAAGGTGATCTGTATCCTACCTGCTTCCCTTAAGTACTCCTCACACTGCAGGCCCTGACCTGCCCTGCTGCCAATGTGATAGGCGTGTTTTTTCCTTTTCTTCTCCTTTTCCAAATGGCTCAAAGCATCCACTCCTGCAGTGCACAAATCCACGTGGACTGGGTTATTCAAAAGCTTAATTGGAGTCTTGCACATGCAAGGCTGAAATGGAGACTCACATGTCAGCATAGGACTCACATGTGACTCACAGGTAAGACTCAAAACAGTTTGGAAGAATGCTGGAAAGTTATCTGTGCTGTCCTGGGTGAGTTTCTGACAGCACTGGCTCTTGGAGAGGTTTAATGTCATAAATGAGTAAGTCAGACTTGCATTTTATTCTTTTCTTACTCCCTACTGTCTTCTCTTGCCCTACATCTGCTTTTGACAAATTGTAGGTATAGGTTTCTGAGGAAATTGGAAAGGGAGTATATGATTATAAATTAGAAAAATTTTTCTTGTGGGAAAGCAGATGTAGCAAATGATGGTTTAAGGGGTTATGTAAAAAGTACTTTATAGCTGGCTGGCACTCTCCACAATCCAATTTCTGGGTTGATATTAAGTAGTGTGCATTCCAGGTTTTATATTTAATGGGAAGGCCTTAGCTTATTTTTTCTTTAATAATAGGTTTGGGTACTTTACTTCCAGGATCCTACATCTCACTTCTTGCCAGGATTGTTCCATTCTATTTTCTAAATCCCTGGTAGTAATTCTCAGTTTAAATTTAGTCTCGCTGTAAACTAAGGTTGTTCTGGCAAATAAGACCAGAGGCATTTATTTCTCTTGTGAGAAGTAGCTGTAGTATGTGACTGCTGTAATTAATTGATGTATTTATGGCTTAAGGGTCCTGTACATGAAAAATCCAGATGTGGCTGATAGAAGCAAATAGATATTTGGAATGGATGATAGAACTGCAAAATCATGTATCAAATGTCTAATAAAGCCGAGGCTCTTTCATTAATGTAAATACAAGCATATGTGAGCTTAATAGGCACAAGTCTCACTGCACTCCAGCTTTCAGGTTGTTACAGATTGCAGCCAGCAAGGAACTTGCTCTGTGAACCAGTAAATCACTGCTAATGCACGACCAGGAGGGACCAGGACACTGCAGCCTGTCTGAAAGGGCTTCAGCCGAACCTTCCAACTTAGTGCAGGCTGAAGGACAGTAAATGTATTGTTACAGCACATTCCTGGGTTGTACAGTCAGGTTCTGTTGGGCCAGTGCACTGTGCAGGCCTGCAGGTCAGGAAAACTGATTGATCTTCTTGATTCTTGTGGCAAAAAAATCCTGTCATGGGAAGAAGTCTAAAACTTCTCCTCCAGGGCAGTACCCACATTGAACTGGCTGGCAGAACATTGTATGCTGGAATTGTTTCAGATCTTCCAGCCAAGGGAGAAAGGGGCCTGTGGGCTTAGAAATTTTTTTTTTATTTTATTTTATGGGGAAGCAGGGAAGCCATTGGATGTCAGACTTGAAAAGCCTTGAAGAAAGAACCCAAACAGCCTGTATTTCAGGAACTTGGGCTCTAGCAAGTGAAGAGGAGAGATGTTGAGGTTATGCCTGCTGCTTCTTCCTAGACCGAGTAGGGGTGCAGCTTTTGTTGGGCTCAGCTTACAGTGTGGCTTATGTTTTTAATCTGTCTCACTGTCTCCTAGACTTCCAAAGGAAGGGAGGGTGTTTTGTTTCCTCTCCCTTTCCCCCATCTCAGAGAGCAGGTGATATGAGACTGGAAGTGGAACAGCAGCCCCGTGGATCCCCACCTCGGATCCATCCGAGGGCTCAGGAATTTTAATGTCCGCTCTGCTTTCCGGTTTTTCCCAGGCAGCAGCGTGGAACTGGCTGAGGTTGGACAACTGCACAGCAGCTCTGGGGGCCCCAGGCAGTAAATCTGTCCCACTTCCCCTTCCAGTTGCTGTGCTGCTGGCTGACAATGGCTGGGAGCTCTGCAGACACGGGCTGACGACACTGTTGGCTGAACCATCCCATCAGAAGGGCTGGAGTTTCTGCTGGAGCTGCCTTGGCTCTCCCAGCCCCAGAGGAAATTTGGTAGCAGGCCAGTGGCCTCTTGAAGCCCTCAGTTAGCTTCTTAAGTGCTGTGGATGTGATAATTTTAATAAAATATATTGAAAAATGAAGTCTTGAATGACGTAGGAAGAATCCTGCCTTGGCTGATAGCACGTGGGTTGTGCCATCCATGGGCTCAGCCTTGGCACTTCCTAAGCCAGGCTGGGCTGTGCTCAAAGCACAGTTTGGGCTGACTTTAGGCTGGAGCACTGGCCCTGCATTCAGCCTAGAAGTGGGAACAAGGTGCAGTCAATTTGGGTTGGAGTTTCTCTCCGTTCGTTCTCTATAAATTTTAATCCAGATTTATGGTGTCAGCTTGCTGATCTCCATCCGCTGCTGCAATCATAATTGCTTCCACCAAGGGCTGTCTTGTGCATGCAGAAATGATGGACAAAATTTCCACGCTGGCATTCCTATGGCTTAGTTTGTATTCCCCTCGTTGGATGACCACAGATTTCCACGTGGGGACTGGTTTTGGCTGGGAAAGGGAGATTTCTGTTCATAGTTGCTGCTTTTGTGACATGGAGTCCCTAAAATTTTAATCTTGGAAGACTTTAACTTTGGATGTGGTCGTGTTCCTCCTGTTACCATTTGAAAGTTCTTGGAACAGCAGTGAACATCCTGGGACTGAGTCAGGCAGTGTCAGAAAATGCTCTGCCTTGCAGTGGAAATGGCACTGTTTGGCATCAAGGCAGCCAAGTTTCGCTGTTGGGGTTTTACAGTGCAAGAAATGGCTGGATGATGTTTGGCTTAAAAAGAAATCCAGTTCTTATTAAAAGCAGACTTGATTGCAGAGCAGTTTTTATAGGTTGGGGTATATCTTTAGGTATGAATTCACCCAGCTGAACCAGTATTCCACAATATGGATTGTTCTGAGGAGTCAGCGTGAATGGATGTTTGTTCCTTATACTTGGGCAAGGGGAGAAGAACTTTGTTATTAACAACCTATAAATTTTGTAGTGAGAATTGATCAAATCACTGTGAGGAGCTCACATGGCAAATGACCTTCCCAACAATTTATCAGTTACCTAAATCACAGGATACTGGGAGCTGAAACACTCTTTCAGTGAGTAAAACACCTCCCAGCAGTCAGGATTTGCTGCCTCAGTGTCGGGATGTGAAAACTTGTAAAACTTTCTCTTCATCACGTGACGGACTAAATGGAGAAAGTTCTCCCAATGTAAAATGAGATGGAGAGGAAAGGCAAGTGTCACTCAGTTATTACTCTTTGCCTAAAAGTTTTAGCTTTGGGTAAGGCTTTCTTGGTAAGAAAACCTTCCAGACTTTTGGGAAGTGTGGGATAGAAGCCTCAGCCCCTGCTGCAGGACGTGCCACAGCTGTAACTTCTCTTCTCTCTGCAGGCTCCACAGAGCACAGTGTGCAATCAAACAGACTCAGGTAACTGTGCAGAGGATAGGGAGGGAGATTGAAGAGAAGCTGAGATGTACATCCACACGGAACGAGCTGGTATGTTGGATTCATTACAACCTCCTTTCGTGGGCTCGCTGAAGCGTCTGGCTGATGTCTTCATCCTAAGCTTGGCTTTTTTTAACACTTGAACTTAAAATCTTTCTTCAGACCTGTCATTTCAAATGGGAACTCACCTGAGGGCTGTGTGATGTAATGACTGTGAGTTGTGTGTGGTGCTCAGCTGGATTGATAGACTGCTTAGCCTATTTTTACCTTTTTTTATATGCTATAAAAGCATAAACATTGCACAGTGCACGGAAGAGGCTTTTCAGGAAAAACAAACTTGTAATGATTTAGATCAATCTTGACAGGAACCTGTGGTGGATTCAGGGTGAGGTGAGTCTACTGGCTGTACATTGCTGCACCCCAACTCCCTTTGGATGAACAGAATTCCAGCAAAAGCTGTCAGTCAAGTGACATGCTCGTTTTAAGCAGGAATTGTACTGGATCTTGCAATAGCTTTTGACAGTTTGTTTTGCCTGCCCTCTTCCCCTCTCCAGAAGAGTCTGTTGGCACTGGTTTCTGCTTTCTGCCCAGCAAAGCTGGGCTCAGCTCAGAGCAGTGGGTTTGACAGAAAAGAGGTGGCCTGTGGTGACTTCCTTGCACTGGTGCTCACTGGCACATGTCCATGTGTGGGACACGGATGAGTTGCTCTCCTTCCAAAGCAGAAAACCATCAGAGGCTTTGGGAATCTGTTACCTGTGGTAATCTGTGAACTCAACCTTTAGTCTGCCAGGCACTAATCTTGTCCTATTTATTCCTTCCCTCCTATACCCTTTTTCGTGGAACTGCTTCCATGCAGAAAAACTTGCCTTCTTTTTTTTTGAGTCTGTGTTTCTCCCAACAGAAGAAGGAGAGTGAATGTTTACAGCTGAAGATCCTGGTGCTACGTAATGAACTGGAGAGGCAGAAGAAGGCCCTTGGTCAAGAAGTAGCCTTGTTGCACAAGCAAAAAAGTAGTTTGAGTGACAGAGGTAAGTGTAGGAACCCTCAGCCTGGTTTATGGTCATGGTGCCCAAAATGGCATGGTTTCTGTTTCAGTTTTGTTCATTGTCTGGCTCTCACGTGCTGTGTTTTTTCTTTATCTGAAATCTGCAGGCAGGTATAATTTCTTCACCATCTGTGTTACACTGAGTTTTGGGCAGCAGTTTGTGGTGTCTTGTCTCTAAATAACTTCTTACTGTGACACCTCTCTAATGTAATCTTTAATCCGTGCTTAATTAACATTTTAGGAGAAAATCAGAAGGGCTGCACTGTAATACAGTAAACAGTGGCTTTGTAACCTCAGGGGGAAAGTTACTGTTCCTGTGATTAGGATTCCAGTTCAAGTGTTAGGAGAAAAAAAATCCCTCTTAATAGTCTGCTATGTAAGCAAAAGGTGAAATGCTCAGTCATCCTGGTATTTTCCTGTACTGGGAAGGTGTCCTGCAGTAAAATGCTACATCACTGCCCCTTTGGAGCTCACCAAGGCCAAGCTACACAAATGCTTGATCTTGTTGCAGGATTTTTTTTGTTGTTTTTTAGAGCCTATTTGAGTCTCAAGTAATGAGTCACTACTAAAATGAGTTTTTTGCCATGTACTTCATCCTGGCTGTGCAAGGGTTGGGGTGCCATAATTCATTCCTGCCCTACTTGGCCATGAGGGGAACAGGTATAAAAGGAAGCTGAAATTTGGTTGTGTTTGGATGGTGAGTGGGTGCCTGGAGATCCCACTGTGCTGGCATTTCCTACTCTGGGAGCATAACATGGAAAATGGGAAGAGTCAGTGGAGGATTATTGCCAGCATTTGTGTCAGTATCTACTTTTAAAACTTCTGCTAACTAAGAAAATACCTGATACTATTTTTTTTTCCCTGATTCCTCTTGTTTAGAAAATGCATTTGGGACTGAATATGAGAAACTTGGAGAGCACAACGAATCCCTGTGTGAATTAAGGAAGGAATGCACTGCCAAGAGGTAAAAGGGCCTCTGCTTGTTCTGCAATTGGAAAAGAAAGACAAGCTTGAGAGTAGGCCATTGGAAATGGGACTTCTGGCACCAAATCCTTCCTCCTGTGGCCCCAAAACTTCTGTTAAAACATCTCTGCTACAACTTGCAGATATCTAAGGGGAGGATTACCAGTGGCAAGTCTAGAAGAGAAGAAAACAAGATGCTTGGTTGCCTGTGTGGGCTCTGCTGGGGCTTCTAGGTCTGTTTTAGTGTAACAGCTCTGTAATACCTAATTCTCAGTCAAAAATCCCCTGAAATGTGAGGAACGTGTGAAAACAGCAACTTCTGCCTGCTGTGGTGCTGTTTTGGGTGGAGTTACCCAGCTTTTGGGGAGGGCAGGGGATACCTGGGGAGCTGCAGGAGGGAACCTTATTTAAGGCTTTTGAGGGAACTAATGAGTTGGGGATCTCTTTCCCCCAGAGAACAGCTTTTGAAGACAAATGCCCAGCAGACTATTCGATGCAAGCAGCTGCTGTCAGAGCTGTCCTACATCTACCCCATTGATCTGGTATGTGTGCAGCATCCTAAAAATCTGCCTGAGCTGAAATGAACTCCCTGTTTAGAACAGTGCAAGCAAATATCCTCTTTTATTCATGATGAAATTTGCTCTTTGCTCATCCTGTGTATCCCAGCTTCTTCTTACATTTGGTCCTTGGATTGCAAGCTTCCCAGGGAGGGGTCTCCACTGCAATGGTAGAATAGCTGTAGCTCTAATTTACTGGATATTTGCCATGTTGTTTACAGTGGTGTAAAGTAACCCTGACAGTAGGTGAACTGATCTCTAACAGAGTGCACAGAAACAGATGTCAAAATGTTGAACTCCAAACCCTTTTATATAATGATTTAAAATGAAGCTCTTCCTTCTTTAAAAAAGTTGCATATATTTTCTGAGTTTTGTGAAATGTGGATTAAAATACTGTGTCAAAGTCACTCTGAGTTTAAGTGGATATTTAGGTTTTGATTTTGATTTTTTTTTTCATAGCTTTGTTGTCATTGGATTTTATGCAGGTTTTGGTTTTCTGGATGTTATTGTTCCATTCTCACTTTCCACTGTTGATTTTTAAACTTACAGAATGATCAAAAGGATTACTTTGTTTGTGGAGTCAAGCTTCCTAATTCTGAAGACTTTCAAGGTAGCTGAATATTCTTAATGTAGCTGTTACAGTTAACACTGCTTCTAAATTTCATGGAATTAAGTAAACTGATAATAATGGCTTGGGATCCAAATTTTTGACCGGAAAGATCTAGACTAGGAAAAAAAACCTTAGGAATTATTTATCCCTGCTCCCTTGCTACTGCAAAGGAGGTTTCTGTTGGCTCTTGGAAAAGCACTTCTGTGTTCTGAGAGTCCAAACATGGAGTTACCCAGAGGGGCTGTGGAGTCTCCATCCTTGGGGATGCTCAGAGCCCAGCTGGACACAGCCCTGGGCAACCTGCTGCTCCCTGCCCCTGCTCTGAGCCCTTCTCAGAGGTGCCTCCCAAACCCAGGGATTCTGCAGAGTGTTTGAGTCTGACCTAAAATTCCTCTGGGGCCACTTCTAGTCCATCAGTCTTGCTGGGGCAGCAGGCAGGAATCCCTGTTGGGTTTGCTGGAGCTGCTGGTGAAATTCTGGGATAAATACCTCACCAAAAGGAGCCTGTAAACCTCTGTGACAGTATGGAGTGCTTTACAAGTCAGCTGCTGCTTTAACTGTCGACCCTCATCCTCTTGCAGAGGCCAATATTTCATGTGCCTGTGTGCATAGCAGTTGTACAGGTAACTGCATGCACTCAGCTGCACGTGTTTGGTGTGACTGGAGCTGCAGGAAAATGCCTTGGAGAACTTCCCAGTATTTGCTCACTCTGGTTTCTTGAGCAAAAAGAATCTGCATCTGTTGTCTAACTCTTTAAAGCCATCCCATAGTAACTAACTTGTACTGACAATATGTATATCAGATGCAGAATAGTGGAGGAGTAATCTTTAAAACAAATTAATTTGTCAGCAGGACAAAACCCAGTCTGTTTCTTTGTTTTCCTGATTGCACTGAGTGTTGTAATGAACTCAGTTGGGTAATTTTTGAGGAATCACTGGTGTGCATCTTCTGGCCCATTTTCAGTTTCCTGGTATTAATTCCTTACAAAAGAATTACTAATGCTTTATCCAAGGCTCTAGAAATACTGTATTGTGATGAAGAATTACTAAGCATTCACCTTATTGAAACATGCAGTTAAATTTGAAACCTGGCATGGATCTTATCTCACTCAGTAGGTAATATTTTTTTAAAAAATTAGGCATCTGAAGGATCAAAAAAAAAATTGATTCCCTAAAAAGCCAGTTTTGCTGCTGGTCCTCTTTGGTTGACTTCATGGGATTCCCTTGTGCATCAGGAGGGGTGACTCTCGTGCTGTTTGTATCCCCTACAAAGAATTAAAATTAGAGAAAAGGAAAATGAAAAGCCCTGACGTGGCTAAAGGATGTCATTTGAATCACCAGACCCGAGTGTATTCCCAGCAGGTGAAGCTCCAAGGTTGAAACCTGAAATGTCAAATTAAAAAGGATACTTTCAACCAAGGGGTTAACCCAAGTTTTTGCAGTTCCTGGCGCAGAGCAGAGCTCCTGCCCTGGGGAGGGTGTCTCTCCAAGTGACCTCACTGGTGGCTGGAGCTGTGCAGCAGTGCAGCCTTCCCCTGACCCTGGCAGTCCACCCACACAAATGCACAAAGCTTAAGGCTTGACTTTTGTCTTGGGAACCTTGTTCCACTTTTCCCATCTTTCCTTGGCCCTCCCCCAGCCAGGCAGTTCAGCTGTGGACGTGTAAAACTGGCAGGAGAACGAGCCGTGACCAGCTTTCCATGAGAGCCAAACACAGGGAGTGCAAAGCTCTCCAAAGTGACTTAAGTGTTCCTAAGTTCTGGTTTCTGAGGGCTGTGTTAACTGTGGTGCTCTCTGAGCAGCAGGGCTGAGCACCAGCATTCCCTGGATCCAACAGTGGATTCTCTTTGTCCTTGCAGCCAAGGATGACGGGAGCATCGCCGTTGCCCTGGGCTACACTGCTCACCTGGTTTCCATGATCTCCTTCTTCCTGCAAGTGCCACTCAGGTATCCCATCATCCACAAGGGCTCCCGCTCCACCATCAAGGACAACATCAACGACAAGCTCACCGAGAAGGAGCGAGAGTGAGTATGTTGGGAAGGCACTTCCCTCACAACAAAAAGTCACCACCAGAAAACCCCCCACCCTGAACAGGTTTGGGTGCTCTGAAGTGACACACAATTTGTCTCTCCTTGAAAACAACGAATCAACACTGAAAAAAACCCTCACCCTGAACAGTTTTGGGTCCTCTGAAGTGACAGGGAATTTGAAGGCACTGTTTCCAGTAGTCATTGGAGTTTCTCATGTTGGAATTCTGGGAATTCAGCTTTGTTGTTCTCGCTCTGTTGGCACACGCACGCCTCTGATTTGGCTTCCAGTAATGCTAGAAAAACTTAAATAGTGTTTCTTAAAGGTGAGTTTTGGCTGCTGGTTGGAAAAATTGCCCTTTGTGTTTTGCTACTGTCTGTGGGAATAAACTGCAGATGGCAAGTGCAGCCTCACTGGGAGCTACTGCCAGTGCTGGGCTGGGGGCAGAGAAACATGAGGAAACAAATTTTCTCTAACACAGAGGGGTTTAATCCATTGAAAAAGAGCACAGTAAACTGCCACCTACTGTAAATCAGCTTAATGTTCAGTAAAGAGCTTTTTGTTTGTTCTGTAATCGTTGTCTTTCAGCATAAGAATCCAGATCAGGATGGAAGGGTTTTATTGTGCCTAGCTGACAGGATGGGGATGCTTGGAAGGGTCTGATTTCTCTTTGCAGCTTAGTGACTTTGGGCAGGACAGACAAGGTAATTTGCCCTAAGAGTTGGAATCACTCAGGTCTTCTTGTTTTGACACAATAAAATACAAGTACATAATGATGTCTTGCAGAGTAATTTGGGTGCCATTTTAATAACTTGTCCAAACACTTCCTGGGTGACTTAACAGAACATTAACTTGTTTTGCTTCAGTGTAGGTCTTGAAGCATATGGTCATATCCTTCCTGAGCATCACTTGGAGGAGGATTACAAACTAGAACATTTATATCTGCAAAACAAATTTCTGAGGAGTAGAGCTGCCTGTGTGTGGGTGTGTAAAGATTAACCCAATTTCCTGTTGTCTGAGACAGATTGGAGGGTTTAGTCCTTCAGGCTACATCCTTCCAAACCCTCATGACTTAATCCTTGATTTCACAATAGATTTGTGGAAAGGAGAAAGTTTAGCTAAGAGTATGAATCCCTGCTGGGCCATTTACCTGTGTTCTGCAAGATTTTTTCAGGATTAGCTCCTGCCTGAGAATCTTCTCTTCCCAGCTATTGGAGAGACAATCCCACCAACTCTCAAAGGACTTTGGTTACTATAGAAAACCTCAAATGTCATAAATTGCAGTTTTCTTTCTAAACTAATGGTTCATGTTTCTCCCTTGCTCCTGACTGCACTGAGCACAGCAATTAACATGCATTATTAAATTTCTTTATTTCAGTCACCTGTCCTTTAGCAGCTTTTCAAACTCCAACATAAACTGTTGAGTAATTGCAGTGAGGTAATCCCTGTATTTAATCTTTATTATAACACATACATCCTGATTACTGACTATGTTAAACATTTTACTTGGCTTTGTACTTCTTTTTTTTTGATGGCAGGGTTGCCCCGAGATCCTTATTAGGAGCTTCCAGAAGTTGTGCTTTGGGGGGGGAATAGCTGAGTTTTTCACTCCAGAGCAAATTAATAAGTAAATGTGTGTATTTTTAAAGTTATAATGTATAAAGATTTTACTACACTTCCAAGTTTCTTTTCTCAGTGCTCTGGTCTGGTTGGCAAGGGGGTGTTGGGTCATAGCTTGGACTCCATGATCTTGGAGGTCTTTTCCAACCGTAATGATTCTGTGATTCCTGAGGGTGGAATGAGGTGTGGAATGACTGCCATGCAGTGTATGGTCAGCCCTGTAATCATGGGGGTATTAGCTTTTATAATCCATTCAGTAAGTGTGTTCCTCTTTATTCAAAACATACTTTTGGTACTACTAAAACACGAGGTTTTCTTCATGGGAGGGCTTGTCCAGCCCTGGCACAGCTGCCCAGGGCAGTCCCCATCCCTGGAGGGATTTAACAGCCCTGTGCATGTGGCACTTGGGGACATGGCTCAGTGGTGGCCTTGGCAGTGCTGGGGAATGGTTGGGTTTGGGTCATTCTTAAAGATCTACCAACCTACATGATTCTATGGACATGTAACTCCCAGATTGAAGCTCCCTGGGACAGCAGCATGTTCCTCTGTGCAGTGACAAGCAGCATGTTTGCAGAATAAACCACCTCAGTTCCTTGGCTCTGTTCTGGTGCAACTGAAACCTAACACTTCATCACATTCTCATCAGCAGCGTGAGAATGCTGGGATTAAACTCTTTGTGATGTGTCCTGACACTGTGTCTGTCGAGCCCTGCATTTCATGCTTCTGTTAGTCTGCTCCCAGAGTTTTGAGTGCAGAGTAGCTTCCAGCTCAGGGCAAAATAAGGATTGTTATGTCTGGAGTGGGACATAGGCTGTGAAATTCCCTGTGTTGGTGTTGCTCCTCGTGTCGTAGTATTTTGTAATATAAACAGTTTGGAAATATATATACCCCTCTAAGAAAAATAATGGGGTTTCTGGAGTTTAATCACCTTTCTAGTGCCCTAGGTGTGTCTGGACAGGTGAAATGCACATTCAGAGCAATTATTTCTGTTGGACTTTTGCAGTGTTGCTCACACTGTGTCTTTTAAAAGATTTTCAAGAACTCTTACTTCCCTGCTAGGTGAGTTGGAAATGAGAAGGGCTTCAAGAAATAGTTCTGCTAACAGGGTAAGCCCCCAGGGTTGGGGGTGCTTCAGCAGTGCCCAGCACAGGGCATGGGCACTGCCCTGCTCCTGCTGGTCAGGAAAGCTTGCATTGTGTTGTGTGTGCTTCACAGGGTTAAATCATGTGCTGGGAGTTACTGACAGTGGAAGTTCTGATGTGAAAAGTTTCTTCTCAGGCTCTCTGAATAAAACCAACGTGGGATTCCTTGCCAGTTCTGCCCCAAAACTGCTTCCAAATTACCTTCCTCAGTGTGTTGTCACACCTCAAAGAACTGGAAGACAAGCTGTATTTGCAAATAGGTGTTGCTGAACCAGCCTATGGATGATGTTGGAGCATTTGGAACCCACTTGTGGAATGAGCACGGTCTGTAGGTGACCCTCACTGCTGGGGCCTCTCTCCAGGTTGGAAGAACAGGAAAATCAGTGTCTCAATTTTAACAGGCTTGGTCCAGCAGCACTGAGAGGGTTCCTGCTCTGTGCCTGGGAACAGATGAGCCACTTGCAACAAAGCAACCTGGAAAATGGGGACACCAGCAAGTGAAGGGTAGCTTTTCACTGACATGAACGTTCCCCAGCTCAGTGGAGAAGTCTTTAATCATATTTGGGGCTTTGGCTGAGATAATGAAATGGCAGCTTTGGGGAGAAATCTTGGCAAACTTAAATCAGATGGAGGGAGATGTTTGGTTGAGAAATCCAATAGCTGTCAAAGCAGAGCTGAATCTTTGGGGTAGATGGAGTGTGTGTTAAGTGTGCAGCTATATTGCTCAAAGAATGCTTTCTGCCATGAACTTCTCTTGAACTGTATTTTTACATTCTACATTCTTGAGGATATTTAGCTCGAATCCTGGCTTATTTTATTCTTGATTACCAAAATAATGCTCGTGCCTTCAGTGGGTCAGCAAATATTGCAGTGCATAGATTAAGAATTAGATCAGGTGTTCTTTAATAAATTTAGGTCCTGTTAACACTCTTTCTGGGAACTGGAAGTTTTTACATGCTCCTGGCCAGGCTGAGAGAGCAGATTTTTGTTTACTGCAGTGGATGAGACCACTGACCCCAGACATCTCCAGCTGAGAAATGTTTCTGTGAAGACATACTAGGCTTAATTTGCTCCCATTGGAACATTATACTCCTGATGAGATTCTTTTTCAAAACATGACTTCATTGTTTCAAATAAGCAGGGACTTGCCCTGTGTAAAGTGTCCTCCAGTTAAAAATGATCCTCCAGTGGCAGGAGATTTACGGTTCTGATAGCAAGGTTTGTGCTCTGCCCTTCCAGACAGCCCCTGTGCTGTGACATCCATCATGGCTTGGATGGTGCAAGCCTGGAATCCAAGCTGAAATCTGTCACAAAATGCCCAATTAACAAAAAGCCATCAGTGTCAGTGGCTCCTTGGGTTCCTCTCTGTGCTTGGGGCTCTTTGAAAGCATTATTGCTGAAGCAGTGGAATGATTCCCTCTTGTATAAATTGGTGACTGTTATCAGGAACTGCCTGACTTTCAGAATCTGGGTCTTTGCTTTTGTATTTTCTCCCTCCAGTCTGCCCACACTGAAGCTGCTGTGCATTGTCCAAGAGCAAGGGCACAGCAGTTAGACTTATTACAGAGAGATGCTCCTGCTTTCCATTATCACCACCTTAGCTATTCACACAGGCATTTTGAAAATACACTGCAGAAAGTCACACTGATGATGTTTTCCTTTCCCACTAAACTAATTATCTCTGTGTTGTGCAAAGCTTGAAGGAGGATGTGCTTTTCCCCCTTGGCAGTCTGTATTTTTGTCATCGAGTTTGTTTTACAAGTGTAGCTTTTCCTCTCAAGTAGGAACTCAAACCCATATAGTAATCCAGCCTGAATTCCCTTGGGATTTGGGATTCATATTCATGCCTTAATCTCCAACAAGTAAAGTGCACACTTGTCATCCTCTTTCCTGCCTTTTCATTTAATTTTGGGTCGTCTGCTGCAGATCTGTGCCAGTCTCTGCTCTGAAGCTGACAGAGCTGTGGTGCACCTTTTCTGAGAAGGAAACAGGTTTTAAAGCTGTGCAGCCAAAGCTCCTTGTGCCCTGTCCTTTAGGTGGGATGCTAAGAGGTTGGAAGTGCTGGGATTTTGGTGCCTGTGGCTTTTGAGCAGCCTACTTTTCCTAATATTTGGGTTGAATTGTCCTGGGGAATCCTGATTTCAAGTGCTGGCTGGACAGTGGTGGTCATCCTCACTTAAAAGGGTTTGCTTTCTTCTGGTTCAGAGAAGTCCCAGCACTTTTAAACCACAAAGTTTGCTCTCCTGGATCCAACATTCCCTTGGAGTGAGCAAGCAGGATGTGGTTGGGTTGGGGGGAAAACCCTCCTTCCTCCCTTGCAGACCCCCAAAAGGGGGTGAGGGTGAAAGAACTCTTGTACACTCCTCATACTTCAGGCAAGAACTTGTGACTTTTTCAGGTCATTATCTTATCTGGATTGGGCTGTTTGGTTCTATCCTTGTATAGAGTGTCCCATCAGTAGATTTAAGCTTGAGACTCATCATTTTCTTAACTGCCCCATACTTTGTAGTGTTGTGTGAGGCACAGTTGTTCCCTGGATCTGATGGATGGCTCTGTTATCACACCAGTGTCTTACAGACACACAAATTACATCAGTTCTTTATCTGTATAATAGTGAATAATTGGGTTTCAGCTGCATCCTGCCAAGTCTGCTCCACAGCCATCTCCCTGCAGCCATCCTGCTCACTGTCCTGGGAAATGAGAAGTGAAGGAAAAAGCCAGGTTGAGTTTGTTTTCTGACAAATTTGGTGCAGTTGGCCAGGAAGTGTCAGATACTGTAAATACAGTGATGTCAAAATACAGTGGTGCTGGTTTTATTTAGTCTTGGGACTGAGATTCCAGTCTCTAAGGTCCCTTCCTACCCAAGCCCTTCTATGAGAATTAAGTGTTCTTAGGGCATAAGTGTCCTTGCTGTTAGTTTGACTTGCAAAGCTACAAATACTCCTGGTCCTCGGAGTTCTGCATGATTTTGGAAATTAAGGCTTCATAGCATAATTCTAGACTAGATTTCACTCACATTTGCCAAATGGGATGTAAGGTGCTATTGAAATTGTGCCACACTTCAGCCTGTGGAGGACAGTCAGATGTGAGGTGTAAAAATCATTATTCTACCCACTTCTTCTCTTCAGAGCTTTCTGAAGTAGAGATTAAACTTTAATATAATTTGGGCAGAAGTCTGAACAGAAGAGAGAATAAAGGATCTAAAACACATGGTGTAATACCAAAGTAGAAGCAGGTGAAGGCAGTTGAAGATGAAGCAATTTCTTAAGCTTTAAAAATAGTTTGTATTAAAGACAGGCTGTTATAGACAATAAAAATGGACCACCAGTATATTAGTACACATGTGATAGTTTTGGATGCAGAGGAGTTCATAAATCACAGGACACAACAGCAAATGTACCCGGACTTGAATTCATAGGAGATACTTGAGGTTTGAAGTAAATGTATGGAATAAGGATTCTTTCATCTTTCCCTCACAGTTACCGTGTGCCTGAACCAAGAATCCTGGGATTCTCTTGCATGTTCATCAAACACTGAAGAGATTCTGTAAAACAGCTAAAGATGAGCTGAGGATCTGAAATTAGAGGAGCTCTTGAGGGCTCAGAAGTACTTGTGTAAGGCCAGCTGAGAAAGGTGGGACAGTGCAGAGGAGTTTTCAGTGGTTAGAGTAGAATACTCAGCACAATTTCTCTGAGTTGTAAGAGAGATCTAATGCTTAAACCACCACCACAATCAGGCTGGTTTTAGCTCTGAACCAGGCCTGTGGTTTTCCAGAATCAATTTCTGCAGGCAGCTTGAAAAGATCTTTTTTCTCTAATCAGTTTTCTGGTTTTTAGATACACCAGTATTATTGAGCAGTGGAGACACTTTAGTCGCAAATTGTTGCCTGGGCTGTCTTATCAAAAACAGGGGTTTAATCCATATATTTAAAAGGCAGTAAGAGATGGGTTATAACCCTTTGTTAAGGAGTAACTGATATTCTTTATGAATCACTATTAAAATTACTCCTGCTGTCTGCCCTGCTCTTTATAGACAGATCATCTGCTCAGGGTGTATTAGGGCTGTGTTTTAAGGAGTCTAAGTGCTGTTGAAATATTATATTCTGTAGTTGTGAGTAAATATCACCATATTTTTCCGAGGGCACAGGTTGAACCTGGCTGAGCAGAAGCTGTTCAGTTCAAAATTGCTGCCTGCTCACGTGGCAGGGGATGGTCTCCTGCAGTGGTAAGTGCTCCTCTGAGGAGGACCAGAGGTTGACTCAGAACAGAATTCCTATTACTTGACAACTTCTCTCAGATGATCTTTTCTGGTGATCACACAGCAGGTCCCTGTGGCTTGTGTTTTTTCTTCTTCCCCCTTGGAATTTGCCATCTCAGAGTAGGTATCTGTGTTCTGCTTTAAAGGAGCTTCAATGATTTCTTTTTTTCCCCCCCAAACATACCAGCAGGAGTGGAAGAAAGGAAGGTGCACTTTGGAGCAGAGTGGGCAGGCAGAGGCTATTTTGCAGTTTATTACGTGCTTTGTGATTATAAAAGTACTGAAATAGTAGTTTTCAAAAGTATTTAGGATAACTAAAACCTTGCACAGCCGACTTAGCTTTCTGCAGCATGCCAGAGGGAGGGGTTGAGCTCCCAGTCCTGCTTTTCTGTGGAGCAGGCAAGAAGAATTGGATGTGGGGAGCCAGCAGTTGGAGTTGTGTTTGATTATAGTCAGCGAAGCGCTGTGTGAAATGTTGGGGTTCCTCTCCCTCGAGTTCATTGCTTGGGACCAGGCTTAATGGGCAAGCAAGATAACACCCAGAGAGAGACAGAAGAGTTGGGGATCTTTGTCTCTGGAGTCCTGAATGTGCACAGCCAGAGACAGCACTGACAGTTCTCCAGACTGGCCTGTCAGTGATTATGCTGGGAAGGCTGACCCGGGATGTGTGTGGTTTTAAAAGCTTTCAAGATTAATTAGTGCAAGTTAGAGTGGAGAAATGTGAATATTGGCAAAGAAGCAGGAGCAGTGTGATAAACAGAAAATCCTAATTTTTCCCTGTGTGTGGGAGATGGTAGCATCATAAACCAGTTTTTATCCTCTTTTCTATACGGATTGAAGAGCTCTGTGTCTAATAATAGAATACATGGTTCCCATTACCAGTGACTTCATGAAATACTACCTTGGAGTGAAACATGGCTTGTGTTCCTAATGGTGCTTTTATTGTCAAACTTGGGTTGGTTTTAGGCTGTTAATTGTAAAGGTATCCTTTAAATGTAACCCCTGCTCTGCCCGGGCAGTGTAACTGGAGAGATGGAGATGAATTCCTTTTGCTTTGTGTTTTACACTTAGAATGGAATTTTTGTAGCATGTGTTCATTTGGAAAGGTTTCATTTTCTTGCATGGGGAACTAGTTGGATTTATAGATCTATTAAGCAAGGTGAGTTAGATATACACTATTCACAGGGATTTTTATATTCCTCAACTTGAAGTGACCCAGCGAGTTTGAAAGCAGCATAAAACCTGGAGCTGACATCTCAATATTTGATCTGCTGTGATCGTGCCCTGCTGACCTTTAGCTTTAATGGCACTATATAATTCTTAAAAGTTGCAAATGCACTCTACTGTGGGGCTGATGGATGATAAAATCCACTTTGCCTAATCACCTCTCCAGAATGTGTGTTGTTTCTAGTAGATACTGATCTTCTGTATCTTATATTTGAGGGAGCCTTTGGTTTCTGCCTTAATGTGGGGTTTTATGCAGATAATACACTCAGCATCTTGATTAGGAGCTGCAGGACATGTGGCTCTTGAGAAGGCAGGAGCTCCTTTCATGGTGGAGTTCCCATAAATGTGGATTTCAGATTGTACCGAGATTGCTGAACTGCCCTCAAACCTCTGCTGCTGAGGAGGAGTTAAAAGCCAACCCTCAGAAATGCAGTGTACAGCCACGAAAGCTGTTCAGGAGAACTGCTGCACTCGAGCTGAGAGCTCTGGGACAGATGTATAAAATGGTATTTTTGAATGCAGACGCTGTCAAACGGTTTCAGTGCTTTAGGGGCTGAACTTTAGTTCTCCCTCCTCACACAGCAGGGGAGGTGGTGCTGTGCTGTTCCACAATCTCTCTGTGACATTTCAGTGGTGAGCAATATTGATTAAAGAGGAAAAGTAAACATCAGGAGCCTATTTGCAAGGTCTGTCGTGACCTGTGGTGCTGTGACTTAAACCTTTGGGGGTGTGTGAAAGGAATCACTTCTATTCTGACTCTTCCTCTGGTAAATGAGCCTGCAAATGTCTTCTGTGTGATGGGCTTTGTGCTCTGCCCATCACAGAACAACCCACAATAATAAGCATCTTTTAAAAACCTGAAATGCTCAAAAAATCTGGAATTCCTCAGCTGAGTTCTGACATCAGTTTTTAAAAGGCTGATTGACTGGGGCTGCAAAGGGTTTCCAAGAACATCCTGCGAGGGGGTTCCTGGGAGAAGTCAGCAAGGGAAGCTTGTTAAATCTTTACCTTCTCAGAGAAGGAGTCTGGGGATTTGGAAGTTTGCATAAGCATCTGAATTATTTCACCTTAAATGCATATTTTCCCCTCTTTTTTTTTTCTTTCCCATCAGATTTCCTTTATATCCAAAAGGAGGGGAGAAGCTTCAGTTTGAATATGGAGTTTATCTTCTCAACAAAAATATAGCACAGGTAGGTACACTTGAGGTGATTTTTTTATTATTATTCTTTATTTATATCTATCCTCTGCTTAGTGTCAGTATGACCTGTGTGCATGTGCTGTCTGGTGATGCTGTTCTCTGTGGGGAACATCTGTGAACTAAGAGATACATCCTTGAAATCCTTGTCTTACCTTACAGCTTTGGGCTTGAGGTTTTATTCTGTGGTGCTTAGAGAAGGACTGGTCAGATAGTAGTGAATCTTTTTTCTTTTTCAAATAGTAAATTCCATGAGTCTGTACACACTGCTTTGAAAATTGTAAATGTTTTCTGCTTTTTTATTCTGTCATACTTACAGATCCATCTGTGTCATTCTCACTGCTGTCTTTAATTTGCTGTATTATTACTTTAACCAGTATTCTACTCTTGTAAGAAAACACAAGTAGAAAATCTGAAGTCTTGCTTAATTTAAGTCTTACTTAATTTTTAAAAAAAGGACCTCCAATCAACCCTACTTCTTTGCTTTTCATGTATTTTAAAAATCATCACATAATCACTTATTATAATAATCTGGTTTAAGTCTCTTCCTCTTTGCAGACTTTTATGTTCTGAAAGACCTCCTTCCATTTTTAAAGTGTTCTCCCTCGGTTTCTGAGGATTCTTCCTGTCTCCAGTTCTCCACCTGAGTCCCCATCTCTCCTGCAGTGCAGTGCCCACAGCTGGACACAGCTGGGCAAGTGCTGCTTTCCAAGCACTGAGGAGAGGATTGGCAGAAATGCAGCACAGCTCTTGTCCTTTTAGTTCCAGTTCCCTGTGTTCCACTGGGTTTGTACTTTGAACAGAGCTTCACTCCCAGAGTGAATCTCATTCAGTGCAGCAGCCCCAGGGACCTTCTGCACAGCACCCAAACCCCTCTGGGTTTGTGCAGGTTCTCAGTCATGTTTGACCTCCTGCACCTCGAGTGTCTCCTCAGAGATGCACCTTTTGTTCTCAGCCACGGTCCTGAACTTGGTGATGGAAGAAACTGGGGAGAGGGGGGTTGAGAACTCAGGCTCAGCTTTGTGCTGCTGCATTTCCAGCTCTCCTAAATCAAATATTGCTGGAACTGGGGTTCTCTTCACCTGGGTGGAGCCCCCCTTCCCCTGCACTTCCATTTGCAGCCATTCCTCACTGCACCCAAAGAGTCCTTGCTCTGGACTCCCTCCTGCTTCATGAATATCCCATTTCCCCAGCATGCTTGTGAGCATATTGCACTAGAAAGTGCCAAGAGATTTAAATTCCAACAGAAATATGCCATTTCTGTTTCTAACCCATTTGTAAGGCTTGAAAGTAGATTAGTCTTACAGTTTTATTCTTGAAAAATCTGGCCTTTTAATGCTTAGTTTCTTCTTGTTTGTTTTTCCAGTTCTCTCTTCCATCACTTTTTTGCCATTCCTTACCCCAGATTGAAGTAAAGCTTCTGGATCTTTTTGTGTTGTTTGTTTTTTAAGCTTGGATTGCATTTACCATTTTCCAGACTTCTGGTGTCTTGCCCGTGCTCAGTGTATTTTGGATGATAACCTCCAGCGGCTCTGAAATTATTTAAAGGCTAAAATATCTTAAAATGAAGTTAATCAAGCCCTGCTAATCTTGGAAATTCACTTAACCAGGCTGTTAATGGAGCTTAGACTGTGCCTCTTTGTTGGTGGTATTAGTAATAGCAGCCAGCTGTTCACACTTGACCTTCATGGGGGAAGACTGGTGAGAAAAAGGGATTAAATACTCTTTGATAGCTTTCCCTCTCCATTACTATCAAATCAATGCTTTCCTTAATCTCTGCTTCCACAAACCCATTAGTTCAGTCTGTAGCCTGGGAGTGGTGGTGCTGCTTTTGATCTCGTGCTGGAGTTTGCCATTCCACCCTGGGATGCAAACAAGAGCCTCTGGGCTCCTTGTCCTCCTCCTCTTCACGTGCTGGTTGTTTGCAGGCCGTGTGCTGGGGGTTGGTTGGCCCTTGTGCCTCTTGCATTTTGTAGGAACTGTCACCACTTCCCTTGTTTTCCTGTTTATCTCTGACTTGTCCCTGTTGGACCCACCGAAACCTCTCATTCTGGTTTTCTCCCTGTCCTGTTTCTGAGGCCTCTGAGCATCTGGACACAGGGCCACTCACCCGTGCTGCCTTCCAGCTCCTGGCACTTGGTTTCTGAAACCACTGGCAAGTGTTTGAACCCATAAAAGTAAATGAAGACTTTCAGTGCGTATTTGTGTTTAAAAAGTTTCCAAATTTCCGTGGGGTCAGTGGTGCTGTGCAAGCTGGAGCAGTGGTGGCCAGGCTTTGAAGTGGTTTGTGCAACACCAGTGGTTCACATGGAAATGTTTGGGATTGTCTACTCTTGGATATAAAAACATAATGAAAGTAATTTGGGATTTCTGGGGGGGCTTCTCCTACTTATTTAATCAGGAAAGTGTTACTGATGTCCACATAAACTGTTGTGGTCACCTTTGTTTTGATATCCTTGGTCAAATGTTGCTGCTTTTTATAGTTCTGCCAAGGGGAAATTCCATTGTGGAAGCAGAACAGGTAGATAACTGCAGGAAAACATCACAACCCCTCTGTGCTCAGGGGCTGACTCGACCTGAAAACCCGAGACTCTGTGAATCCTTTGTACTCCTGGGGATGCTGGAACTGTTGAACTGAAGTAGCTTTTAGAAGATCTCAGGGCTGCTTTCAGAGGAGCTCCTGCATGTGCTTAGTTCATGTGGATGTGTGAAAGTAATGAAGTTTGGATGGAGAATGAGCAGCTGCCTCTCTCTCATCTCCAGACCTGAAAGAGGATCCTTTTAAGGCCCAAAGGTGTTGGCCTTAATTCAGAGAACAGGTCCTGAAATGGCTCTTTGTCATGAATAGATGTGAATCCATTGCCCAGTTCCCTCAGTGTGCTGTGGGAAGGCTGGAGGTGCCTGGGGGGGACAGTGGTGACTTCACTGGAGAGTTAGGAGAAGAGCCTGGGTCTCCATCACCTCTCTTGAATCGTTCCTGCAAGTCTTGATCACTGTGGGTGAGAGACAAAGAGCCCAGAAAAACTTGTATCAACTTAAAGAAATACTTGAAAGGATTTGTTTGAGCTCTCCCAGTTTCACAGAGTTTTATATAATGTTTTATTCCCTCTCACAATTACCTGGAGTTGTGCTGGCAGAGGAGAAACGTGAGCGGGGGAGAAGTGAGACGGGGTTGATAGTGAGGAAAATGACTGAAATAGACTCTACTAGAGATAAAGTGGTACTGTTTTGTAAAACAGCAGGATAATAACAATGGAAACCACATCTTGCTCTCGGGGGAATTCAGCTGGAATTAGAAGCAGCTCAGTGCTAGCTTGGTAGAGCATTTATTTGGGGAAACTTGCTTTGCTGTTACATTCCGAAGTCAAAACAATGTGTGTTAATTCCGAGAGCTCATAATAACTTCCATCTGGACATGAGCACAAATTGTTTCAATCCCCATATTTTCTGTTTGTAAAATTGAATCCCTCACGAAGTGCACAGAGGAGCTTTTTAAGTTGGATAACGTTAGGTAAGACCATAAATTTCCAGTTAAGATTTCAGCTCTTCGACTCTAACAAACAAATGTGGGGGTGGGTTTTATTCTTTTCACAGGGAAATTAGTGACTTGTGTCTAATAATACCTACCAAAAAATTCACTGTCATTGTCAAAGGTAAAGTACAAAACAGTTGCTAAAAAAGGGAGTGAATTGCTCAGCTCTCCAAAGCATTGGGCAGTGGGAGAGCATTCAGCAGGTAGCTGATCCCAGACTCCACAGCTGGTAAATGAGGCATGTGTGGGGAATATCTGAGGAAGATGAGGCTTTAGGAGGAGAAGGAAATGAACTCTCACCCTGATATTCACAGCAGAGAGACTGAGATTACACTGTGGAAACCTCCTGTTACAGTGGTTGAATATTAGGAGCTCCTGAAGCTTGGTCAGGTTTGCTGTGGGCAGTGAGTGAACACAGCAGGGGCAAGGCTGGCACCTCTCAGGGGTCTCATCCTGCTGGCACAGCCATGGACCTTCTGAGTAAAGAATTTCTTCCTGGTATCTAACCCAAATCTGCCCTCCCTTAGTTTGGCACTGCTCCCCTTGTCCTGTCCCTGCCTGCCTGTGTACAGAGTTCCTGGCTGTGTTTGTCAGGGGCTCTGCAGATGGTGGCACATCACCTTCCCAGGCATCACTCTCAGGCTGAGTGAAGTCTTTGGGGTTTGTTACAGGGCAGGAGTTGAGGTTGTTCTTCCTCCTGTTCAGGCTGGGTGCGTGCTCAGGATCACCTCCCAGGGAGGGATCTCGTCTGATCCTGATTTGTTTTGTCAGACAGCTCTTGAGGGGTGTCAGACTGACACTGGCATGGTTTGCTCAGCCCTGGCCAAGGAACAGTTGTGCTTTCATCTGACAGTCATTAGCAACACATGAACTTTGCTGTTGGACACAGGAAAACCCCTCCCTCCTTTGTCAGTCCCCGAGGATGTTTGTTTTCACATCAGTACAATGCAGATCCAAGGCAGTATCTGGGTCCAGCCCTCCTGTGGTGTGTCCAGAGCTGTGTCCACATGGTGCCAGGAGGAATTGTGTGCTTGGGGTGACTTGCTGGGGATGATCAGCCAGTTCTGCTCTCCTGGGAGTGCTGCCCTGTGCTCCAGTGGCACGAGGTAAGGAACAAGCACAGAAGCACAGAAGAAAAGCGAAATACTCCTTGACATGTTTTAGGTGCAGCCAAACTGCCATCTTTCCAATAACTGCATGGAAGGAAAGTTGAGTACTTATGTATTGGTGCCATGTGTAAGAAACCCAACTGAAATTCAGCTCTTAATCATGAAATGGGGCAAGATGTGCAGTTCCTGGCTCCTATTAGACTATCAAACATGTGAGAAAATCCACTTTATAATAGAAACTATTAAACTTTTCCATGGGAAGTTGAACAGCAGAAATGTTAGGCCCAGAAATTTGTTTTGGCAATAAACACTAGGGAGCAGAAGTGTCTTTAAGGGTGCTGTGGGTAGCAGTGT